TCCTATTTTGTCTCCTCTGTTTTTGTGTGTAACGCATAATTCATGGCCAAAATAAAAAAAAGAAAATAAAAATTTTCACTGTCTCCCAAAAACCGGTGTTATTTATTCAAAATATTCGTGTGTGCCTGCGTCTTGCGTTTCCACGAAAAAAAAAAAACAATCTAGAACATTTGCCGACGACTTAACTGCATTTATTATGAGACGCACTGAGCCCCAAAAGACTGAAAGATAATATTCCATTCCCCTGCTAAAACGTGAAAACGTGTGTGTGTTTGCTAAGCGATAACAATTTTTTGGCCAGGGAACCCCATAGTCCCCGCCGATTCTACGGGAGTGCGACGGGTTTTAAGTGGCGTTGTGTCCACAGCTGAACTACTGATAAATTGCATTGATTTATCAAAAGCACTCTTGGATGCCATGTATTCCATAAAAATAACACTTCCAGATTGGATTGGGGATTCTAACGATTGTGAAAGTAGCCTAGAATTAGTTATACCTTTTATTGAAAAAAAAAAATAGAATACTTAATAAACTATGTCTAATAGGTTCCTCCATTTACTGTCTAGAAATTCATATATTTTTTATAGGTAACAATTACAGGGTATCAAAAGGAAAAGTATACTCCCTGGTAACCCCTCAAACATTTGACATCCAGATGGTCACCAGATAAGAGGACCTTTGCCGGCCATTCGTTGTCATAAATCACAACACTTTTCTCTTCAGTTGATACATTTTCCCCCCTTTTTTTACTCAGTTTAAGCCATTTATTGATATAGGCTAACAGGTTTATTTGTCGGTCTGATGTCAGTAAGCCCAAAATATATCAATTCTGGTTCGAATTATGAATGTTTATGACGGCGTTACCCCGAATAAAATGTTCTTTAAACGGAATAATTTATCACTTGGCCTAGTCAATGTCGAAATCCAATTAGCTAAGTGTTGTGCAAATAAACCTGACCGCATCCCCAGATCCATCGTCTCACATTCACTTTTGTGTTAACTTTTTGTTAACAAATTAATTATGTCGAGGAGCAAACAATGCGGACACTGCTGACATTTTAACAGGATCGTCAAGGCTGGGTGGCCGGTTTCCGTTGGAAATATTTCAACAATTTAGCAGCTTTCGCTCGAAGTTACTTAATTAGTTGGCCTTTGTTCTCGAACTTAATTTACATTTCCAATTGCGTTCTTAAAAATCGCAAGGAGCAACTGAAACATCCTCCAAAGGAAGCCATTCCAGTTCTTATAAGAAAAAGAACTCTATTAAACTACATAGCTCAAGAATCTGAGGGAGGTATTTATATGGATTCATGAATAACTAAAGAGTTTTAACATTAAAACACATCTAATTAAGAGGGTTATAAATTCATAATATAATAATTTTCTACACAAAAAAAATTAAAATACATATTAAATGCCAATTAAATATTTGTTTGTCACAATAATTTCCGACCTTTGGTCGTTTTATGTTCTTTCCAATTAGTCGGTAGACAATTAATGTCATAAATTAATTAAAAATCAATTTTCATTATTTTTTTAACAAGGAAAACCATAACAGGCAACGACATTACTTCCACAATTTACTCAACAATGAGAAAAATAAGGGAAATCGTATTAAACTATAGCTATTTACGAGCAGAATAAAAAACTTGGTCTTCTTGCTTACCTGAGTTGGCCAAGACAAAGTTTCAGGAACCTCATCTTCGTTGAAGCTTGTTTTTTCAATTTGTTAAATCGTAATCAAGCTTAATCACTTAAATGGTAGTTGGTGGTAAATTAAATTTAATAAGAAACTCCATAAAATCCTCTTGCCGAGCGGAGAAACTTTCTCCTTAAAAAGTGAACATTTTTGCACTTGCCAGAGAGGCTGGCAACTTTGCGGCATTTGAATAACACTTTTGACTCTGGTTTATGCAAATTGTGTTTATGCATTCATACGGATTTGATTTTTAAGGCATCTGTTTTTACAGTTCCTTCATAATATTTTCGATGGCATCCGCATTTTATGCAGCAGCGGAAAAGCGTTGGAAATCCGGCTGTGGGCTGTCGGTAGATGGGAAATGATTTGGCCGGATGTTTACATTCCACCGAGCTGGAAAGGTGATGCTGGATGACAGACCATTCATATTTTATTACATAAAGGACGGTGGTTGGCGGTGGCGAAAGCGAAAGGACGCACCAAACACACAGTTTTCAATTACGGCGACTTTTCCTTGTCGCCTGACCGAGTCATTGAAGTTTTCTCGGGCGTCAGTTACGTTTTATGAGTCACTGTATACACCCGTACGTATATTTATATGTGCGAGTGCGGTTAATGGCTGGAAATGTAATGACAGGATATGCATTCCTCGGAGTGTCGACGAGCAAGTGACTGCCAAGAAGACCGAGCCGGCATCATCAAGTTGATAAGAAATTCCACGCTAATGTCATAAATCTGTAACATAAAGCCCTTCATTGGGCTTTCCTGATTTTCCTTCCTTTTAAGGGGATTTCTCTTAACACTTTAATGGAAAGTCAGAACCTGTTATATCTGAAGAAACGGAATTCCAAATTAGCAAACGAAAGGGCGAAATTAAACAAATCCCAAAGTGAATGGAACAAGGCTATTTTCAGAAGCGAAATCAAATGTGCATTCTTGATGCAATTACACAGCCAACTTACAATCGGATTTCCTTTTAAAATGCAATTAACCAAATTTGTAACAATTAAAGCACTCTACCATTATCTTTAGTTTTTCCTGATTAAAGTCTTTAATAAAGTCTTTATGAAACGTTCTGTGTTCAAACAAATGAATTCTAGAGTGGCATTCATTTTCAAATGCAAAATAAGCACAAAACTGCTAGCATATTGTATCTATAGAAAATTTTTGATTTTGGGTGGCAGGAGCTTATACTGATATTTAAATTCCCCAAAGGTCTCTCCAAAATTTAATTGGAAGCATTTGTTTGATTTTCCATAAATGTAACCACAAAGGATTTGGCTTCAATTTCCAAAAAACTGACAAAAACGATTGGGTGGACCTTTCCCTTTCCGTGGACAATACGGCCCACTGTGATGGCCATATCTTGGCCAATATCCATCAGATTCTTAAGCGGAGTACCTTAAACGAAAAGTATATCGATTCTCTATCGAGCTGCATCAAAACCTGGCAACAAAATATTTTTCAGATGTTTTGTCAAATTTTCTGGGGGGTCCCCTTCAAAATTTGGAAAATGCATGGGGTGGACAATGTGGCCGCGGGAACGTACCGCGGAAAAATAATTTGAAAATGATTGATTTACAATTTTATTCAAAGCTTTTGATTGTGATGCTTCCGCTCATGTCGCTTGTAAATAGTCTAATGAATTACAAGAATCGGATGAAAATCGGAAAAGGTATGGGCTTGGATTCGGGCAGACATGGATATCTAGGATTTAGGATCAAAGTTTTAATGCAGATCGTATCGGTTAAGGTATTCCGCTCAAGGATCGGATAGATATTGGCTAAAATATGGACTTCGTTTGAAAGTCCGAATTTTACAATGGAAAAATTTAAAAAATCTAGATCTAAATTTTTTTTTAAAAGATATACAACTTTAAGATTGGATGGATTGGAAAATCTATAAGTTCAGCTATATAAACACCATCTTTAAAAATCCTTACAATGCTTACAATGCTATTGGGATGAAGGATCGGAAGGAAACTGAATTTAACAAAGCAATGGTTTTGTATAAATTTAGTATGAATATACTGAAGTTTACAATGAAAATTTACAATATGGCCATTTTCCCAATAAATACAATGAAAAATATTGCATTTTATTTCTGTGGTTTTTACCTTTGTTACCTTGCGTCCAATAAATTAATTTTGGCGTAAAATTTCGGTTTACTTTTGAAAGTAAACACATATGGTGTGCTATTTAATAGCTTTGAAAATATGCATAATATTTTTGATATTGGACAGTAGGAATTTGAAACTAAACAAGAAAGGAAAGTTTACTTCGGACAAAACCGAATATGATATACACTTGCAGTTAAATGACAGTTTATGTTGTAGGATAATATAGGATGGGATATATACTCCAAATATCTCATATAGTTGGCCGTACAAATTTTGAAAAAAGTCCTTTTCCATCTTCAAAACTACCAATGATTAATTTATGATTAATCCGTTACATAGGGCATTAATGGCAGCAATAAGATGTAGTCGAATATAATTGAAAACATGCAACAAAAATTAAAATAAATAAATAAAAAAAAAAAATTTAATTAAGCAATAAAATGTTAAAAATGAAAATTACAACAAAAATACAACACCAAAAACAAAAAACTACAATAACCACAACATACAACAACATAAAAAATTCAAACAACAACAAAAGTAAACAAAAATAAAAAATATTTTTTTTGATTTTTCGGGCCCGCTTAAGTGCAACCTATGAGAATCGAGGAGGAGGGCGATATTTTTTAATTAATTTTTTTTTTTTTATTTTATAAATAGTTTCTAAATTAAAGATTTTTTTAAAATGTAATCATATGCAAAATAACGGTAAAACTTGGCTCTTTATTACCATTTGACTTCCATGCGCTCTTAGAAGTGGGCAATGGAAATAGAGTGTTTTCATTTTCAGATTTATAATTTATATACAAAGGATATGATATATAGTTAAGGATACGTAAGAAAGGAATAAAGGATGTGTAATATCGCATAAAGAAGGATGTGTACATAGTTTGAACTCGATAGCTTTAATACTAAAAGACTAGTTTGCATAGAAACTGACTGACGGACATTCTTATATCGACTCCGACTTATCGGATCCTTAGTTGATCCTGATTAAATATGTAAGTATTTTATAGTGTCGGAAGTGTCTGAACCCCTTTGATCACAGTTATAATACCCTCTGCAAGAGTACAAATCTGTATAAAAATTGAATTTCCCCCAAAAACCATTAAAGCCAAACCCAAAACAAATTGAATCAGGTTTACCAATTACAATGTATATTGTTTTTTCTTTATTTTCTAGCCAGATAAAATTGAATGCAAAAATGCAGCAGCCAACGAGCCGTGAAGGAAATAAATGAATCATGTTGGCTTAAACAGTTTCCATTTAGTTGGGCAAGAAATAACATTAAAGGAGACCAAATCGAGTAAAGTCAGCAGCAGAAGCATCAGAACCCCCTCCCAGAACCCGCACGAATCCCTCGATGATAGCCAAGTTGGTCAGCATGGAAACCGACTTCGACATGGGACGGGACACTTCTGAGGATTCACCACAGCTTCCCTACCCGTACAACATTACGCAGGCTCTCTGGGATCTGGCTGCCACGTCCACCCAGTGGCCTCTCCTGGACTTGGGAGCCGAAAATTCCAGCGAACTGGCTGTGACAGAGACACCCTACGTGCCATACGGTCGCCGTCCGGAAACCTACATTGTTCCCATCCTGTTCGCTCTGATCTTCGTGGTCGGTGTCCTGGGCAATGGCACCCTGATTGTGGTCTTCCTGAGTGTGCGCCAGATGCGGAATGTTCCAAACACGTGAGTGTTCCATCTAACCGGAAAAGTTAACATACCGCTTGGATAATTAGGCATGATGGTGGGTTTTGTTTAATAAAGGGGTACAACTTAGAGTCACGGAATCATTACATAAATGAAGGGTTATGTCTTTTTAACAACACGACAAGGGTATATTCCTTTTAGAGGACAATGTTATTCTATAGAATATTACATTAAATATTCTAGTAAGAAGATTCTATTCTAAATAGCTTTAACGGTCGCTGATTGAACTTAAACAAGATCTTAAAAATATACCTGAATACCCCCGTAATATTTACAGGACATCACCTAGATCTATAACTCCTAGCTTCACAGCAAGTGCCTTTGATTTACGACAAACTTAAATTGAATTTAATTATATGCCTCTTGCCTCTGGCAGCGTGTGCGCCAAATTATGCATGCAAAAGGCAAATGTCACGAGTTGGCCAACAGCGTTGCCTGAGAATTGTCCTACTTGCCTACAGCCCCTCCAGCCCCTTCTAGCCTCCTCCAAATTGCCCTCCAGCCCATCAGTTAATTAAGCGGCATGCCGAGCCGAACGAGGCAGTCAGGCAGGCAACAATGATAATGGTAATGCTGTTACCGCCTTCGTCTCGAAATTTACTCAAAACTCTGCCATTTATACATTGTACTGGCATAAGGACAAAAACACACACAGGCACACCCACACTCTTAAATCGATTGGCAGCTGTTGATGTTTTGTAGGCGAGGAGCGGGAAAATGGCATAACTAATTAGTCATGTTGGGGGAGATTTTTGTAGGAAGACTGCATATATTGTGTGTTTTTGTACATTATGCCATAAATCACTTTATTGTGCCAGGCTTGCAGGCGAGATAAATATAATTTTCCGACAGACAGTAACCTTATGTGACTTCCACAAGCAATAGGTTGCCTACTTTTTGGGGGGAAACCAAAGTAATTCGTTAAAGGCGATGGATTTCCCCGGAAATAAAGAGACTGGAGCCTATGGCATATAAAAAATGGAAGTAATTTAACAGGATATACAATGTATTATTCATAGGATAAAACAAAACACACATTAACTTGGTTATGGTTGACCTTTAACCTTGACAAGCAATTTAATTATGTTGGAAATAAAGATCCGATTGGAAATAGAAAACTTTATTTTTTTAAGGAATTAATTTTATTAAAGCCCAACAATTATCTTCAGTCTTTAACTTTTCCGAACCAATTAAAGTAAATACCCTGAACAGTCAGGTTTCTAGTGGCAACATCTTGACTTTATAAAGTTGTTTATTCTGGTGACACGGGTCTATCATTAAAACGATGGCCTTGGCCAGATGGCAGTTGTCCTCCCCGGCGGTTTGTGGTCAATTAAAACAGTGCCCCGTGTCGGCAGGACCGGAATGAACCATTGCCACTTAAAAAGGAATTGTCACGGCACTAGGATAACAAACATGAAGCCACTTAAATTTTCTAGCGGATGCCAAAGCCATAAGGATGCAGTATGTAAAGCATGAATTTTCCAGGAACGCGATTCTGCATTAAGCTGAGCTCGTGTGTTGGCTTTTAGCAAAAGGCTAACGTGAATGTCAACTGATCAAATTACGCTGAAATTGCATTTGGCGAATGGGGAGAAAGTCAGAGAGTCAGGGCGTTTTAAAAGCCAAGTGGTGCTAGACCAGTAAGCCGGAGACCACGGGACCATAAGACCCTTATCGGCTTTGCCGGGGGGCCACAAAAAACGTAATTTGGTGTTGCATTTCCGACAGCCAGGACGTGGCTAACAAAGTGCCACATGCAGCTTATTTATGGTAAGCGCGGGTCGTGGGGATAAAGGCGAAATTACTATATGAGATCACGGACCGAATTGCCACTGTGCGCTATTTATTAGCCCACTTTCTGCCAACGGCACAGAATGCAAAAATCTTTAAAAAAAAAACATGGAAGACTCCTTGCTTTTGTCTTTTTGCGGCTAGAGACAATATACTTGCCACTTAATAAGGCTTTTGGGAGATAAATCAATTTTAATGGTCATTGTATTGCCCTTAAGTCAGCAGTTGTTGCAAAATTTGCTTAAAAACTTTCCAAAACATAAATCAGCCAAGCGGCGCATTTTTATCACACTTCCAGGACACGTGCTGCTCGAAGAGACGAGCTTTAGAGAGGTCCTTTTTGAGAGTCAGCCTGCTTATCTTAAAAAATGAGACATAAATCTATGTATTTCTTGAGAAGGGTGACTTTAAATTCCCTATAAAAAAATGGCATCTTTCAGCTATATTTTATCACTGGCACTGGCGGATCTTCTGGTTATTGTAACCACAGTGCCCCTGGCATCTACCATCTACACGGTGGAGTCCTGGCCCTGGGGCGGCTTCCTATGCAGTTTGTCGGAATTTATGAAGGATGTATCCATTGGTGTATCGGTGTTTACGCTGACAGCTCTGTCGGGAGATCGATACTTTGCCATTGTGGATCCCCTAAGAAAGTTTCATGCACATGGTAAGAATATTAACTTTAAATAGTTTGAACATGTGATACAAAATACAAATTTTAGGGGGAGGACGTCGAGCTACTAGAATGACTTTGGCCATAGCCGTTTCCATTTGGTTGTTGGCCATACTCTGCGGTATGCCAGCTCTTTTGGGCAGTTACATTAAGGTAAGTTTACTTGAATTTGAAATTATTAGTACAATATATAATTTGTAAACTATCCCTACAGCAACTTATCATCAACGAAAAGTCTATTATTTACTGCTATCCTTATCCAGAAGGTTGGGGTGAAAACTATGCCAAAACCATGGTACTTCTCCACTTCCTGGTTTATTATGCCATTCCCCTGGTGATTATCGCAGTGTTCTACATCCTCATCGCCCTCCACTTGATGTATTCGGCCAGTGTTCCGGGCGAAATCCAGGGAGCTGTACGCCAGGTGAGTCCTCAACCTAACTCGGTTTAAGTTCCCCAAAAGAATTCATAAGTGCGGCAAATTGATATCAATCATTGGACTCAACCTCTCAACCCCCGGAAAAGTAAAGGAAAAAAAAAACCTCCCATAAAAGTGAATTATAAACTTTTCCACAACTATTTTCGCAGCGTGGCTGTGCGAAAAAAACTTTCTCATTCAGTTCGCATGGGGTGGCATAAAATATTCAATATTAACTTGACCGACGCACTAAAACTCCAACTGAATGGGTTGAAAGGTGGAATAAATTGGGCAACTTTTTGGTGGCTTACAAAGCATGTGTTTTCGGGTAGAACGTTCAGTTCTGATGGACTCTATTCAGGGCAAATAATTTATTTAATTTAATGAATTTTCAAGTCATAAAAAAGTAGGACATGTAGAGTACTCTGTCATAATATATTTTCATTTTCAGGCCTTCAACTTTATCATCCTTAACATATGTGGTTTTTTTCAGGTTCGAGCCCGTCGAAAGGTGGCCGTTACAGTTCTGGCCTTTGTTGTAATCTTTGGCATTTGCTTTCTACCCTATCACGTATTTTTCCTATGGTTTTACTTCTGGTGAGTACTCACTCGTGGTCCTTGCCCATGAATTTCCTCTAGCTAGCCATGAATGAATAAATGGAAAGTCAATTTGTCAAGCGGATAAAAAGGGACCTGCCAGCAGCCAAAGGGATGCTCACAAAGGCAAACAGTGCGTATGAGTAATGTTGTTGCCATTTGTTCGACACTTGTTCGCTGAGAATGCAGGACAATCGATTTCCCTGCTGATATCTCCATTATGGGTGCTTTACTCTGACTCCCCCGATGTTTGTACGTATTTTGCTCATGTCCACCTTTTTTCCATCTCTCTCCGGCAGGCCCACCGCCCAGGAAGATTACAATGCCTTTTGGCATGTGCTGCGCATCGTTGCCTACTGCATGTCCTTCGCCAACAGCTGCGCCAATCCTGTTGCCCTCTACTTTGTGAGCGGCGCCTTTCGCAAGCATTTCAATAGGTATTTGTTCGTTCACATCAATCCACCTCCACAGCTACAGAATGACTAAACGATACTCGGTAATCGTCACTCAGTCGACTGTCGCTAAAGAGTCACTAACAAAAATCTGTAGCCCCCGTGTAAGCCAACTGCCAATTTGTAACTCTCTCTTAAAAAAAACTACAAGAAATCATAATATTTTATAACAAATTTAAACAAAAACGACGAAATATTGAGCCAAACATTCAGATGCAATTTCTTCCTATCAAAAATTTAATACAAGAAAGCAAAGCTAACTTCGGGCGGAGCCGAAGTTTATATACCCTTGCAGTTAAAACCGGATATATATCGCAAACATCGGATATAGTTGGCCGATCCTTATGATTACATCATATTAAAACTAATTAACTAAAATAAAAAATCTAAAAAAAGTCCCAAGCTTCTATCTTCAAAAATACGAAAGTTGGTATTTCTACCAAGTACCATTTCCGATAGTTCAGTTATATGGCAGCTATAGGATATAGTCGGCCGATCCTAATGAAATTTGGTAAGTTGGATCAACAGGCCAAAAATATAATCTGTACCAAGTTTCAGCTTTCTATCTTCAAAAACACGAAAGTTGGGTCATTTCCGATCGTTCAGTTATATGGCATCTATAAGATATAGTCGGCCGATCCTTATGAAATTTGGCATGTCGTAATTGTTTGCCAAAAATAGCTCTCGTGTCAAATTTGAACTCTCTAACTCTAAAAACACCAAAGTTATACCATTTCCGATCAATCAGTTATATGGCAGCTATAGGATATAGTCGGCCGATCCCGGCCGTTCCGACTTATATACTGCGTGCAAAGGAAAGAAGGGTGTGTGCAAAGTTTCAAGACGATAGCTTCAAAACTGAGAGACTAGTTCGCGTAGAAACGGACAGACAGACAGACAGACGGACAGACGGACAGACGGACAGACGGACATGCTCATATCAACTCAGGAGGTGATCCTGATCAAGAATATATATACTTTATAGGGTCGGAGATGTCTCCTTCACTGCGTTGCACACTTTTGGACAAAATTATAATACCCTCTGCAAGGGTATAATAAAGTTTACAAAGCCTCTCACTTTCTTTTATGGAACATAAGCAAACATATCATATACAATATATTTTTTTTGTTTCCCTTCTTGTTTGTGCGACTCCTTCCAATCGTTACTCAACTTCAATTGAACCTCACAGAAAAATCAACTGCACAACTTCCTCTATGATATGAGGATACATATATCTGTTCTCGAATTGCAATCTGGAATTGTTTGGTGCTCTCGCTTGAGCTCACAAAATGCAACACAGACACACAAGCACAGGAGAAAAATATTAATCAAAGGGTTTTGTTATAAAAAGGACAATAATAATATTCTTATAAAGTTTTTGTTTGAAGACGTAATACGGGTCGTATGCGTATTGTGTGTGTCATAGAATATTTTGTTACCTAATTTATAATTAAACCTAAATTTAACAAATAACCCTTTTACTATAAAGTTTTCTCTGTGCATACCAATAAACACCCCACTTTTCGACACCTACACGCGAGTTTTATGAAATATTTTGTATGGAACTCTGTGCTTGCTTTTTCCGACAATTGCGATTTTTGTTTGTTTCCTTTTTTTGTTGGCAGATACCTGTTTTGCCGCGGAGCCAGTGGCCGCCGGAAGAAGCGCAGCCAGCACGACACCTTCTGTATGCACCGGGACACCTCGCTGACCAGCACCGCTTCCAAGCGCTACCAGTCCCGCCATTCCTGCTACCAGAGCACCATCCGCAGGTGAGTCTCATTCCGGATGGCATTCTTCTTTCCGAATTGTTCTCGATATTCCATATTTTTTTCCGTCACCCCGGACAGCTGTCGCCTGCAGGAGACGACGATAACTACTCTGCCAAATGGCAGCAATCTGAACGGAGCCCCCATTTCCACCACAGAACTGGCGCTGCCCGTCATGGTCCAGGCCACCGGTCACAATGAGGCGCCGCCGAGCTACGAGTTCTCCTCTTTGAAGGAATTTGGTCAGCAGTCCCGAGCGCACCCACCAAAATTCCAGGAATCCCTATTGAATTGAAGTCACAGAAGCAAAAGGTTTTAAACGGAGCTTACAGGATGTCTATATACAGGCAGCGCAAAATATATAGCACAGTTATCTGGTTTCTTTGATTTGTTAGAAATGGTAGCTGAAAGTAGATAATATACAAAATAGCCAAAGTATAAATACGTCTTTCCTAATTTAATTTGTAAACTTTCTTTAAAAACTCTACTTTCATTCGCAGCTACCTTTATTGAAAACATACATTTAAAAGTCAGACAAAAGCCCATCCAACAAACAGAAGCTAGGATATGTCCTTTGAAAAAACTTTGCCTAAAAGTTTAAGTAACTTGTCTAGAATGTAAATACCCAAAGAAAAAGCATAAAAAGGAAATATGTATTTCGATGTGTTTTCTGTGTGTGTCAAGTAATGTCCTAAAGGTTAAGCATAAATGTAAACTGTGTCTGTTCCAAACTAAAGTATTGCAGCCGTGACACTGCTTTAAGCTAAATACATTTTACGTATAAATATTAAAAAGGATAAGAAACGAAAAATAAAACAATTTTACGTGCTCTGTGTTTTGTGCACAGAAATGGACTCCATTTTATAGCTAATCACGATAACTTTGTAAATACATTTTTATGTGCCAGAATATAGTTGAAAATAAATGTAAATTGTGCGTTAAAAACTTTGTTTCCATGTGTCCGACAGAAAAAAAGCTAGAAAAGTCCCTCGAAGCCACAAAAGCCAAAGGACTTGAAATCAGAGTGACTACAGCTCATGGTAAATTTATGGGGAATTAAATTACAGAGCTTGTGGGCGACTTTAAGAAGAAATGCCAAAGAAAAACTTTCTTCCGGCGTCCGGTCGTGACCTGAAAAAAAGGGAAATCGGATTTTAAAACTCCCCTGCGGTTCCGGGACTCTGCGTGGGACATTTTCCGAGATTAATTGGTTTGGCCACAGGCAGAAAAGGTGAAATTGGAGTCACCGTTTAATCTCGTTCAGTTCAAACAAATTGCTGCGCCGATTTTGATCCTTTTCTGCGACACAGGAGAGTTCTTTGACAGCTGTATTAAAATGGAGTACGGTTTGAATTGAAGTAAGATTGATTCGAAATTGTTTTTGTGAATGGAGTTTTCACCTAAATCTCTTAGTCAAGGTACGAACATATCTTGGGAAAGAGTTATTTCATCGATTTCCTTTCAATGTATAAAAATAAATTATAATCCCCTCCCATTATAAACGTTTGTCTTTCATAATGACATTTTTCACCCCATTTATTCTACGATTTGTCTTTCATCTCGTTTCCGGAATCAATTTCCGGACATTTTCGGGATGATTTTACGGCCTTGAGTGCCAATGAAATGTGCCATCAGCTCAATCAGCTTAAATCGGACGAATATTTACTGAAAGTCTACGCTTTGTGATGTTGTGCGTGGGTCTCCCAAAAGATTCGACAGATACAGAAATTAAATTAACTCATGAAATGTTTGAACGCGTTGGCGTGCGTTGATCTGTCAGTTACGTGCCGCAAGGACTTGCGTTTGCGATTGCGACTCCTTTTTGCATGTCCTGGCGACAGGCGACTATCTTGCGGCTTGGTAACCGGCACTTTTTTTTCCTTCAGACATGGCCTCTGTTCAGACGTTTTCTATTTATTTTCGCATCTTTCGGTTGCTCATTTTTAATAAACCGGCTTTGGGTAGTAGACTCTCTTCCAGCATCTCATCCAGCATTTCAGCGACCACGTCAAGTTGTCATCAAGCCAAGTCGAGTGCTTATCCCGGCTTTATTAACTGTCCAAAGTGTTTGTCGCTCTTCGTCCTGGCCTTCGTCCTTGTGCTCGTCCTACTCCCGCTCCTTTCCAGCTATCTTGACTTGGCCATTTTTTTATTCATATTTTATTTTGTATTATTTTCTTGGTTTTATTGGCTTGGGGTTTCGCATTTCCTTCTTTTTTTCTTATTTGTGGTTTATTTTTAAAATGGTTGAGATACAATTTTACTTTAGTTATGCGGTATTGAGTTTATTTTCTTTATATTTTTCAGCATCCAGATTGTGGTCTAATTAGCAGATTGGGAACTAAATTAACTTATGCTTCAATTATTCGAAAGGATAATTTTAAGGGACCTTTGGTCTGTGCTGAGGTCTGTGTCAAGATTAATTGACAACTTACTTTACTATAGTTGCTAGGGTCATTTGTCAGGATTTAAAAAGTTGATTAATGACATTTGTCATAAGATTTCTATCAGGATCACTGATTCAAGCTTTAAATTTGTCAAAATGGAGATTTCATGGTGAATATTTTTAAAGCTTTTGTTTTCCTTGAAGTATAATAAATTGCTTCGAGTAGCCGCACCCACTTTATTTGTTCAAATTAATAGCCGCCTAAATAGGCTTTTAATTAAACATTTCTTTGCTAAACGGCTATTAATATTAATTTATGTAAGGCACTGGCCAAGTGTTTTGACACTTCAAAGCCACAAAAACAAAGGCCAAGTCGTAATGAGAAGAAGTACACCAACACAGTAATACGCAAACAAAAACAAACACAATGGCAAAGACAAAGAAAAAGAACAACAACACAAACATGGCAATAACAATAACAATAATAATGGCAATGCCTTATAAAACATATGGGTGGTAGGGGGGTGTAAGGATCTGAAAGGAAAAGAGGGGCAACTAGAGGGGGACTAGTGGAGGTGTGGAAAATGTAGAAACATTGGCGTGGTAAATAAATAAAACGATTTCAGACGCTTAGAAACGCAAATGTAAACACAAAATCCTCAAGGTGCAAAGCACGGCAGCTTAACGGCATTCCTTCTCGGTGTGTGAGTGTGTGTATGAGTGTTTGTGGCAAAGCCTCTGGGTTGGCAGGGTAACGGGACGCTGACTGAAATCGGCGTGACGAAGAGTCCTTGCTAATCGTAAATTGCCTGGCATAGTACTAATCTACACATGCACACACACATTTATATATTAGGGGCATAAAAATTGGCACTCAATAAGCATGAGGGCACTTTTGGGCCACAGACCCTACTCCACTTTCTCAGTCTCTTAATGCACGTACCACAATACATGCCACAACATACATATTTCTACATATGTACCGTTATGTGTATTTATGAGTGGGCGTTTTTGCCGCCAGGAGGCAGGAGTTATCCTTGGCGACGCTGACGACATCGTCTGGAGTAGTCTTCTCTAGATCTGGTCCTGAATTTTAAATGCCAAAATGGGATAAAAATAATAATCATAAATATATATTATTAAAGTGCATTCTAAGCAGGTATTTGTTTAGTTGGAATTTAGTTAATTGACTTGAAAAAAGGTATTCATTCCTACTTAGATTTATTAATGACTTAAAAAAGGTTTATCTTTATATAAAGAGCATTAAAGATTTTTTATAGATTTTACTAAAAAACGATCATCAATAATTCATCAAAAAACTCTCATAAGCATCTGATTTATGTTGATAGATATCTTATAAACCAAATACGACCTTAAAGTATATAATTTTCCTAGCCCGAGTATCCCTTTAAATATTCCTCATAAAATGGTAAAATTCCAGGTTTATTAGCCTGTCAGAGGTCAGTGGAAGCCCCAAAATATTACCACCTGCTGATTTATATTAACTTGGAATTATACAAGCGTGCCGAAAGCCACGCAGCCCGCATCCTGCCTTTGTAGTTCTGGCAGGATCTAACCTTTGCAGTGGGCTAAGTCTATTTTAAGCATTTACAACTTTATGGCCAACGGTCAAGTGGCAGGCCACCGAGGAGGACTCAATTCCACCCCCAACGAAGCTGACTTTAAGCTCCTTTCGGGAGCAATCACAGCTGGCGGTTGGCAAATGCCACAAGAGCCACCCACGCTCGGTTGGCTTGGTTGGGCCACCAACTGTAATCCTAGATGTCCCATACCCAGATTTGAGCCAAGCTAATTGCCGAGGAAGCAGAGCAAACTTCAAAAATCTGATACCATGCCAGCTGGGTGGGTTCCATCATTAGGAAGATAAAGGTAGGAGGTGGAGATGGGGCACCTGGCATTTGGGCGACACTAAGCATACGCCTCATGTGGACGGGCTGGAATTTAATTATCCTCCGAGCAATGGTGACACTTGAGAACTTGGCAATTAGACACATATTGATTGGAGCTCCCAAGCAAACAAATATTCAAATTAAATCCTCCCAGAGATTCCACTCGCATATGTACATTGTGGTCCAAACGAAATAATGTCCTTCTTCGCAAGAGTGACACTCGAATCGATTGCGTTTTTAGGGCTGGTGGAAGCACAAACCCAGTTTAGAGGACTAAGAGGAGGCTCTTTAAATAAGCGAAACAGCCCACGCGTGCTGGAATTGCTATTTTGGATTTGTCCATAGAAAAAACCCGCATCCGGCCAAGTGGCATGTGCCGCCGGCCCACTCAACGCGGAGATCCTTTCTCTAGCCGAGTAAATAGTAAAAAGGACATTCGCCCGAATTGTCACATTCGTTCGGTTAACTGAATGGGACAGCCGCAAAGATTAAACTCGGCCCCGATTTATGCATTTGTCAACAGACCGAACAAAGGCTTTTTCAGGAATTTGTATAAAGATGCCAAAAGTCGCCTAGAATCCTTTTGTTTGGCTTCTTTGTTTTGAAGACTCTGAATGCTTGGTCAAAGACCTAAACGTTTTGAACAAACTACTCTTAAAATGTTTTATGTTTATTTTAAACAAAATCTTGGAAAAATGCCTCTTCATTTAAGTCTTAATTAGCTGCAAAACAATATTTTAATCCTGACAGATAGAAAATGTAACTTTAACAAATTGTCAAACATTTTTGAGCTTTAATCTATCAACGAATCTCTCAAAAAGTTTCAATAAGTCCCTTGGCTTAAAGAAAGGTCAGTCAAGAGCCATTTTATTCGAATTTTTCAAGCCTAAAGTCATTGAAGCGTTTTTTTCTGTTTATTCAAAAATGGGGGCGTACTCCAAAGTTTAGAGCCAAACTGGCACTTGTCTAATTAATTTCAACATCCAGTGTAAGTTCTTATTTCCAGCAAAATGCTGGTCAGGCTCGGAAGGTCTTTGGCCTAAAAAACGAATGGCGTCGAAATGGCGAACTTTTGAGCTCTGATCAAATAATTCTTTTTTTCGTTTCGTTGATTTTATTTGTTTGCTGTGGCCCGGCGAACCCTTTTCAACCAAATTAGCCATAGTCAGCGGAGCAATTTCGTCATTTCAGATGATTTCAGAGAGAATTCTCGCCGGGATTAGGGTTAGGAAATATAGCTCGAAGTGTTAGATTGACAGCTGGTATGCAACTATTGATTATATTTATCAATACCCAGACATGGGTCATTCAATACTTTAATATTAAATTCTTTAAACCTTGCTAGCTTCAGAAAACTTTTTAGCCAGCATGACCACAGAAGTCGTAAAGTAAATATAGGACATATGGTTGAAAGTTAACCCTTTAAGCGCATTTTTAGAGGTCTTTGAAAGTCGTATAGTTAAATGAGGGTAAAACGCAACAATTTTTCTCATCCGTTTTCTTTGCCAAAGAAATTGTCAGATGTCCTGACATTGTTGCCGAAACGTGAAGAACAAACAACAGAAATTGCGCTGACAACTTTTGGCTAAATCATGGACTCCTCATTTATCAGCGGGAAAATGCGGTCAAAAATGAGAAGGAGCCTTCATTTATGGCCTTCCTTCAGCAGCTGCAGTGCAGAACACTTTCAAAATTACGCCGGACTTCAACCCGCAATAACAACTCTCACAAACTCTGAAACTTCTAAGCCAACATTTAAGGCGTCCAGTGTCGAAGAAGAAAGTTGAGCTGGGTTGAGTGTTTTTTGCTTTTGTTTTTGCTTTCGTTTCCGGTCGGTTGGATGCAAAATAATGACGAATCGCCAACTGAATTGTGCCTTAAGTACGTGTCTGTGGTAAACCCTCATGAATCTATCCATTGTTTGCTTTTTCTCGTATTTAAAGTTATGACATTTCAATGGTTCACATGTGTTCCAGCAACATCACGTTTTATCGACATTTTAACAAGGCATGGAAATGTGAATATTCTTGCTTTTGTGGTTTCATATTGGCAACGTTTTTATTCCCTCGATGAGGCATTAAAATTTTCACCAAACGCAACAAAGTAGGTCCCAAGGATGGCTATGGAGGCATCTATAACCCTTTAAGGTTTAGCCTGATCAGGCTGAAATATTGCGTAAAAAATGAATCTTTTTGGACATTATTCTTCATATCTTCCGTAATTCTTATGCGACTACAAAATTTTATAGCTTACCTTCCTGATCTTGTATCTTTTAGTACTGTCATTCTCCATAAAAAACTAGCAAACAAAAATGTTATTCATTTACGACATATTTTAAAACAGCATCGTGATTTTAAACAAATTTTATTGTTTTATCTATTTACCATTGATACCCATTCTTTAAATTATTTATATTCCTAACCCTGTATATATCTTTTCTGTATTTATATATTTACATTATCCATTTACTTACTTTTTGTTTTAGTATAGATTTTTCCGCCAAAACTTTCCTCCAAGCATGACATACTTACGCTTAGTAAAATATGCTCCATAATAAGCAGGTTAAAGAATGTAATAACCAAAATTCTGCTGCTCATGGAAAATAAAACAAAAAGGAAAGTTATCCCAAACCACAAGTGAATTTTAAGCGTGTAGCTTTTGCTCTAAAATATAATTTTTCCAGTCGACTGCACGGCTGCGGTTCTCCCATATATTTTTTTTGCGCAAAAGGCTAGAGTTCAAGTTGACTCTAAAAGTAATAAATAAAACCCAGAAAGCTCGTGGAGTGCTGCCAAAAAAAAAAAAACAAAGGCAAATTTTCGAGTAAATCCCTGCAAGGTCAAAAACTCACAAGATGATCCCATTAATAATTTAAGCCAGCTTCAAAAACAAAGAGAGATTTGATAAGAAAGTCGGATAACTGACACAATAATGTCAACGGCAAAGTATTTCTTAGATATTTTCGCTGAGAATGGGTTCTGCGCGTTCGGCGATTGTGAAATTGCGTGAAAATTGTCTTGTCAGTGGCAGCTGCTGGCTTCTGCGAATAGATTAAAAATATCAAAAGCAGCCGACAGAACAAATAGACTGGCACTTGGCATATTGCTTACTTTAAGGCTACAGGTGGACGGACAGCTGGGATGCCGGCTTACGTACAACATCTGTATATGCTTCACATTCTTTTAGGATCTGACTTCAGGCGATTACATACGCAGCCAACTTACTGCACAGTTGTCGCTGTCACATCGCATCATTTGCATATTTGCAGTCTCGGTGTGTTGCGCTTATATCACGTATACGCAGTGTTGGCCCCTACAATCGATGCCCGGCAGGCGCTTTCACCCTTCATCCATAGTTCAATCCCGTGAACCCCTTCCGATTGCCACACTTAGTCGCATGGCAATCTTGGCAGGATTCCCTGCCACCCCATCCACACCCAGTCCACGGCGCAACAATAAAGCTTTATGGCGGGGCAGGAGAACATCTATCGTCAATCAAAGGCTTCACTCCTCGCATCGCTGGGCTGTTTGGCTTTGTAATTTATTTGCTCTGCTCGAGATTTGACTTAAAGTGGGTAAAACCGCACGATTTGGGCCATGACATATGATATGGGGAAATCGACCTAATTTGCAAGGACTCTCAGCTTGGCCCAAATTAGGTTTGATAAGTCAATCGACCCGAAGCGGTACACGTTTGTTTGGGATAACTTGGAAACAAAGTTAATACTTAGGCTTATAGTTGAATAATTGGTTTCTAACTTTTGGAATTAAATCTTAAAGGTTCTTAAAGGTTACAAATTATCTTAATTTTTTCCTGTAAAGTTATTATTTCTTATTCTGCAAACTTATTTCTTCAAACCCTTTATTCTTTTTCATTCAAATTAAAACGTCGAGGGAGCGTTTCACTGAAGCTTTCGCTTGTTGGTTTTAGCCAAAGCTTGCTTATAGCCAAGTCAATAACTTGGAGCTTGTAGTTACTTCCAACAGATGGCTCTCCATGTAAACTGGTTCGCTGTAGGAAATAAAAATTAAATGAGTTTTTTGCCGCAAAGTAATTTGAACGTGAATATTATTTTAATTAAAAAGGAGTGAATGGCAAAACAAGGTATCAGTTTTTGGTTTTATTTTTAAAGTATGTTCGAGGAACTTTAGTCTCAATCAGGACTATTACCTGTACTGAACACTTTATAGTCTATATAAATTAATACCTCAAAAATTACACTTTCTACAATATTCCAAGATTTACAAAAATAAAATTGAAGAAGGTTCTTAGTTCCCTTAAACTTAAACCCCTATATTTAAATCTATATTTATAGATTTAATACAATTACATTCCTTGGTAAAATTTTACTGAAAAAATGAACCACTGAATCACGTCTTCAAGACCAACTCCCAATGCTCATTTCTGGCTTAAAAGTCTCTTGGCCTAATGTAGACGACAACAGCTGCCACGCGCTCGCGCTTAGACAGCCGCTTACTGCTTACGCTCGCTCTTTCTCTCCTGCAACTGGGCACTGAGCGGCTCTCGACAAGTGTCTTGGCTTAAAACGTGTTTTAGGCTTTGGCCGCCTTCGGTGCCATTCTTCAGTTCGATTCGAAACGCGTCTCCGTTTGGTTGTTGCCGCCGGTTGGTCCGGTCGTCGTGCTGATCTTTTTGGCCAAGTGAATGTTTTTCAATTGTAACCAAAACAATACCGTCAAGTGGGTGATATGTAAGTGAGCCGTGTGGACTACCATATCCATCTCTGTCTACCCGGTCAAATGCCTCTCTTTCTCTGAGGGGAGCAAGTGCGTGGAAGACAGTTGCCGTCAGGCGGGTTTCGATTTGAATTTCGGTGTTCGGTCAACGCTTTTCGGGATAATCGTCTTTATATCTTTACGTATGCAAAGCGCGTAATTTTGCATTACCGTTGTATCGTCGCCGCGTCATAAAAAGTGACCGCAACACAGCCCGATCCCCCGCCTAATCTTTCTGGAAATAATACACCTCCCCCAAAATCAATTGTGGAAAATTTCACTTTGGATCGAAAGCCAGTTTTTTTTTTGCATGGATTATCGTAAAACAAAGCTATAGTGTGCGTACCGGATCTAGACCCAGTGCACTCGTTTTCCCCAAACCGCGAATTAAATTACCATCCGCCTAAGCATATTGTAGCATTGAGATTCTTGAGTGTTGAATTAACATAAAGCTTTACCCCCCGGCTGGCCTCCAATTAGAAACTGCCATAAATGCATAAGAACTGTGCGGCAAAGTTATTTCAAAGACTTAATAAAGAATTATTAATTTTTTAATTACGTCAAGCCAAGGTCATTGGCTGATAAAATGCAATATTTTCCAGAAGTTTTCGCTCTCACCTACCTAAGAGACCGAAACAACAAAAGACAAATAGAAATTACAGCCACAAACTAATCAAACAAAAAATCACATAAAAATTACAAAAAATATTTAAGAGAAAAAAAAAACAGCGAATGCAAACATACAAAAAAGTGAACCTCCAGCCCAAGATATATTATATGCTTTCGTGTTTATATAGCAAAGACAGATTCAAGGTGAATGTTGCCATTATTTTTTGACAGAGCGCTCGAGAGCAACAAGTGAAAATTTATTGGGAAGTTTTTTGTTCGCGTGCTGGAGGAGCAAAAAAACAAACGAAACTTGGCAAGAAACCACCGCGAAATAAATGCCATTAACAATATATATATATTCAAAAACAGTTTAAGATGAATAAATAAATAATCAATGACTAATTGGGATAAAAAGAAATAAATAAAATCTTGCGGTCAGCCAGTAGAGAGATTTCCAGAAAGATTTATATCACGTACATTTTTTCCAAAAATTTCGTAGAATACCTTCTTATCATTAGATCAGGAATTCTGTACCATTTTTTAAAACCTTTTAAGCCGGAGAACATACCAATGTCATTAACCATTTTGAGAACTTAGCCTACTCACACACAATTCTAGTTATCCATCATACGCAACGTTGGCGTTGTAGCCTTGAACTTTTCCATTTAGAAGACCGAACAAATATGCGTTGAAAAAGCCAACAAAGAGAAAGAAATCACATTATTATTAATTATATTTTAACGGTAAGCGGGCTGGTTCGCCAAATGATTTGAATGCCTTTCAGAAGAAACCCGTCCAACAGCCTCACAAAAACACAAAATTCCCCCCGTCTTGACTAAAAGTTTTGTCAGCAAATTTATCCATATAATAAAAACCAAAAACACCAAGATGCAAATACTCGAAAACAAATAATTTATCGAAAATTTACAAAACGCTAAAAGCAAAAGAAAAAACAAAAAAAAAAAATTAATAAGAAACCAGTCAAATTGCAAATTACAAACCAACACCATTTTGGATAAGGTTTTTACGTGAGTAACGAAAATGTCTGGCAAGATGGAGCCGGCGTCGCTGCTACGCAGACGCAGCTTCTTTTTCTTCGTCACCATCTGCTGCGGCTTCTTCGGCTTGGAGTTCGTCAGCGCACAAGGTGAGTGAGTTTTACATATGATTTTTATTTTACGATGTTTATGCAGCACAGATAAACAAAAAACTTAATTTAACTCATATTCATATTCTCTGACATTTGGGCTTATCTCTGGGCACAATTTTTTGGTATCATTAAGAGCTGATGCTGAAGAAATCCGAAAACCCAGAGCGAAGAAATACCCAAAAATCGTCTGATTCACTCAGGCACCATGCTAATTTATCTCGATTGTGGCGACGATGGCGGCTCTTTTAAGCCGTGGGATCGTTTTCTCGGTGTACTTTACAAGCCGGAACTCTCCGAAGGTCTGAAATCAAAAGAACGACAACCGTAAATGCGTGTTTAAAATTAAAATCTTCAAATTAAAGCTAACTTGGTGGTGAATTGTCACGAAAAATGAAACGGATGCTTAGTAATAAAGCTCAAGAAAAAACAAAAACACGTTCGAAACTTCCGGAGAATTAGTAGATGACGTCTAACAGTGAAAGATTTAACCAAAAAGTGGCAGTGGTGTCAACAAATTTTCAGACAAATAGATATTTGATCAACTGTCAGCCGCAAATTTGGTTGCACCTGCAGTTGATTTTTGTTTCAACCCCTCGGGGGCTTTCAGTATTTTGCCTGGCAAATGTTGACGGTTTTGGCCTTTTTGGGCAACCTTTTTACGACTGCTTCTGCACCGACGGCATGACTTGGTTGTTTCCCGCCAGAGTCTGGTGTGTGGTGTGTGCTAAAATGTCAGTAAATGTCAATAAACATTTAGTCGTCTGCAAGACCTGCGCAAATATTGGGTTAACTGTTCGAAAGTTAAAGGGAATCGATGTTAAAAGAGTTCTTGGCACAGATATCCTAAGTGGTTCTGCGATAAAATCGTTTAACATCTTGAGTCACTGAGTCTGCGAAAGTGTGACGGCGATTGACATAATATCTTAATCTCTCCGGGACACATTTCAATTAATTAGCAACACAAAGGTACATTGAGAGAGTACAAAGGTTGGAAAAATAAAACAAACAAATTAAAACTAAATCTGTTACATAAGACATCAATAGCCAACCTTTCTATTGGCCAGTGGATGCGCAACCCGAAACCAAATATTTTGAGACCTTATAAAAAAAACAAAAAAAAAACCGGAGAGTGAGACAAAAGCAGAGTTAATAAAATTAACTTGCTAATGAAGCGATGATCACACCGTACGCAGCCAAGCAGCATTTCTATGGCAGTATATCGCCATGGAACTCACATATATATATTGACTTAAATCATTTCATGGCAGAAATCAAGAAATACAACTTATGGAAATTCGCTGGCAGCATTTTTGTATGCAGAAACATTTTTGTCGCGCGTGTTGGGGGCACAAAACAACAAACAGCAGAATGGGAAAACAAGTTTCGAGTTTCTGGCGGTCCACTATGCAAATTAAACACTAAATACTAAATATATACACATGTATGCAGATGTATCTTTCGGTTATTTTGTAATATGGCGATGGCGATGAAAACGAAAGTGAAGCCGGGCCTGACTTTGAAAGCTCAGGCCCCCGAAAGGCCCTTCAGCGCTGCCCTTGTTGTCGTCAATTTCACTTTTATTCCGCCATGTACCGAGTTGTTAACTCTATCGAATTAAAATAAATTCGCCGCCACTGCCGTTGCGCCGAAAGAAAGTGAAAGAAATGTACGAGTATGTGCACATGGCAAAGTTGCGGCACAAGTTTTGCGCTCGAAATCATAACAGTAACGGCAACAGGTTGGCTGACTTTTACGATCCGACATATTCAAGTTGAATTTTTTTGTAACTCCAATAAAATTTAATTCAAATCGTTCTTAGTAATCCAAACTTTATAAACTGAAAATAGACTGTCATTTAACTATGAGTTTATAATAAAATAATATTTTTAAACTTATCTGGTTCTTGTTTTTGGGGTTATGTCTGTACGTTGAAGCCAAAAGCATGTCGGGTCCAAAATCTCCAAACTCTTTTCAAACTGTCACACAGTCGTAACGTTGCTTTTCCCCGACTGGCCGAACGTGACGCATTTCTTCGGGTTTATTTCAATGAATAAATCTCCTGCCCAGATGCACACTCTGTAAAAATAATTGCTTGTTTACATATATTCGTGTAATTTGGCATCTTCTGTGCGCCATAATGATGAGAAACATTGTTGTCCAATTCGGCTCGAACATTATTGCAGTGAAAATCCGAGGCACTAAAATTTGCATAGACAATGTGCGATTTTTGTGGCCTGAAAAGAAAAGCAAAGTTTTGCCGATGGCCAATTAAAATACATTCCCATTTCCACAGAGCTCAGATATTATTTCCGCTCAGGTTACTTGCACTCGCCAGTAAAACACGTTTTTGGCCATTGGCCAAACAAAAATAAAATATAAAAACAGGTGCAATACCAGCCTGGCCAGCGGCTTTTTATATAATGGTCAACTATGTATGAAAAGGAGCAATGTCTTGAAAATAGTTAATAGGCATTGCTAACATACTTCAGCCAGTCCTCCTCCAATAGATGTTTTTGTGTCAATTTAGCCAGATCAAGTTCCTTGAACCCTGAATTTCCACTCCAAATATACCACGAATTCCTTTAGTTGCTTTATTTTCGTTGTTAAATCGCGTATATTTGGCAGGTATAATAGCTTTCGAATTTTTTGACGATTTTAATGGTGTGTAACCACTGATCAAATATCGATATTTATAGTTAGATTGTAGACAAAAATCTTTATTTTCGAAAGGTAGTGAGTTAAAGAGTTTTTCTAAGTCACAACTATTAGTTATATTTTTAGATTCCTAATATAACTAAAAACTTTTATAAATTAATTAATGTGTAAGTTATCGATCGAGTCGATCGATATATCTTAAAAGCCCCTTGCCACCACTAACAGCCAGAACTTAATTTTCCAAATTGTCAGCAAAGATCGGAGCTTTTCAATCATAAAAAAAAGGTACTGCCGGTTTTGGAAACATGAAACCCAACACTTCCACCCGCTCAATCAAAATGGTAGGATCAGAGACCAACGAGTTCGTCGTAGAAGAAGTGATTGGAAAGCGTTTTCTACGTGGATATCCCGAAGTGCTGGTAAAATGGGTCGATTTTCCAACAAGCGAAAGCACTTGGGAACCCATGGCGAACATGGGCAACTGTATGAGACTCTTAGCGGACTTTGAGGCAAAACTCTTCGAGAGGGCCAAAGCTCGTCAAGAATAGACTATTAAAAGTCTTGTTATATCCGAGGAAAAATGGCTTATTTAAAAGCATAACAGCTGTCCGGCATAGATCACTTAATATTAAAAATGTAAATGTTTAAAATAAAAAATATATACACCAAAAAAAGTTTCTTATTGATTTCTTCAACTTAACTAAAGGTTAAGGTGGATATTGATGTATTGATGTACGTTTGGACAAATTTTATAAACGATACATATAAGAAATCGATATTTTTATATGCGATAGTCTTACGATAGCACATCTCTAAGACGCTGTGCTTTTTTTTTTGCATGCATCCCAGGAGCATCGTTACTTTTACGGAATTTTAAGTTATTTTAAAAAGTATGTTAAGCGAATTTTTTAAGCCCACCACAGGGAATCGTAAGACTCACGACTCAGGGAAGTGCATTCCTTCCAACCCAATCCCAATACCAGATGGAGAGAAGCCCGTAGAGTTTTTTGTGGACAAAGTCCTTGGAAAGCGCTTCGTAAACGGACGCGCACAACTTTTGGTTCAATGGGTAGGTTTTCCGGAGTCGGAAACCACGTGGGAGCCGATGGATAATATGAAAGACTGTATGGTGCGCATTGCGGACTTTGAGCAAAACATTTTTGCTAAATCCAATGGAAAACAGAGGCAAGCGAATAAATTTTAAATAAGAATTATATGATAGGTGTATTTTAAGAGTTGTCCACCCCTATCCGCCAACGCTTTCATTAAGTTGGCAGCTCTTCCCCGATTGTAGCGTCCCGCCATTTTTTTGTTCTTTTTTCTTGTTTTCATTTCATATTCCGACAAAAAACAATCAGAGGTGAACGTTATCCCGGTTTTAGTATAACGTGGTCCTCGGATAGTTCTAATTTCAAGATGTCTGAAGCTCCAGAAAGCAGCAATAACCCCAGTGAGACTTGGGAGTTTGTGGTGGAGAAAATATGTGGAAAGCGATTCACTCACGGCCGTCCCGAACTTCTGGTGAAATGGTTGGGATACACTGAACAAGACAACTCCTGGGAGCCCCTGGAGAACTTGGGCAACTGCATAGAAATGGTCTGCGATTTCGAAGCAGAACTTTTTCAAAAAACAAAAGGCAGAAACAAAAACGAAACGAAGCTACAACCCAGAGATATTCTTTGCGTTTCACCTAATACCGCGATTGCTACAGGGTCCAAAATTGTGGACGATAATACACAACAGAACGTGCCAACGCCTCCCACGACTCTGAAACGTAAGATCGAACCCTTTAAAAGAAGACGCGATTCAGTGGCGATTGGTGTTTCCAGTCAACCAGTCATATCCAAAAGCCAGCCTCTGGAGATTGCTACAGGGTCCAAAATTGTGGACGATAATACACAAAAGAACGTGCCAACGCCTCCCACGACTCTGAAACGTAAGATCGAACCCTTTAAAAGAAGACGCGATTCAGTGGCGATTGGTGTTTCCAATCAACCTGTACCGAAACAATCGATATCCAAAAGCCAGCCACTGGATAATCCACGGGCCGAGGCTACTATCCAAAACCACAGCCACGTTAAATTTGTCAAAGTATTGAACTTAAGCGATCCGAGTGACGATGAAGACGTTGAACCTAGGCCACAGATGCTGCCACAACCAGTGTCAGCAATTAATCCTCTGCCGGAATTCCCTGGAATGCCTTCTTCATCTGGGTTAGACCCAGAATCCCGAAGCTTTCTGTCGCCAGATGAAACTTTCCAATCGTCTTCAGCCCCTTCTTTGGCTCCAGTTACTGCTTCGACTCCTTTACCCCCTTCTAAACTATGTGTAGATGGACTAGATGCGCTCAAAGCAAAGGCAAATATATGGGCAAAAACAAATAAGGAAATGAAATATGAAGGGTTTCGGGAAGCCGGTATTTTTAAAAACGCGAACATAACGAATGAGTCATTACCGATAGAACCCCGGCCTTCATCACTGTTATTAGGAAATAACCCCATTGGTTCAACATTGACGCAAGTAAGAAAAATATGTCAACAAAGATAGTTTGTTTTCAATAAATACTTAAACCATAGCTTCTTCAGGAACAGATGCATGGAGAACAGTCGAGTAATGTAACCCAATCGATGCCTCGAAGACTGAGTTTGATTAGACCTGAGATGACGCCGGAGTCACCTGGCACCCAGGGCAACAACACAATCAATAAACCCAGGAGGATGACTTATGGTCCCGGAAGCTCGAAAGACATAGTCGATGCGTCAGTTCCAGCAACGCCGACAATTTCGTCAAGCAGGCCGAAACTCACAAGTGGCAGCTCCGCCAGTTCCAGAATTAGCTCAGGAAGACCTGCTTGGAAGTTGCCCCTGTGTAAAAAGGATAGAGTCTATGGCCTCGAACGAGGGCTGCCACTGGAGAAAGTCGTCCACAGCTATCGCTTAAAGGACAAAATATTTTTGTTCATTAAATGGCAGGATTGCAGCGCAATAGACGCTGTGTTACTGGATGAAGTGAAAGAAGTTTTTCCATTGCAAGTTATTGAGTATTTTGAGAGCCTGAAGCTGCAATATGATGCTCTGGAATAATAGTGCTAGTACTGGTGAGTTGTGGCAGCCGTTTCTTTTGGCCCTGTGCCCATAACCTTAAACGCAAGCTTCCGCTCCGGGGCAGCTTCTTCTTCATAACTTTACAGTTCGACGCTCGCAATATTTGAGCCATGAGCCATGAAAACTTCACGTTGCCTTCGGGTCAAGATAAATGCCATCGAAAAACAAAAACAGAAATGAAAACGAAGCATCATCCGGTCGGTGGAGTTGCTTGTTGGATTCGTTTCCCTGTACATGCACCTGTACATATCTTCATTCTCCTCCTCGCTTCTCTGTAAATCACTGATAATTTCAATGCTAGACATATGACAAATTGCTTCGCTGTATCAAGGTGCACTTAGTACATGCTTTTTAGGGGATTTATGACCGTATATTAGAAGATTTATGCATGATTCCAGCCATGATTCTATTTATATTTGTATGGACACACGTGTATCCAGAATTGTCTTAGTTCTTTGGGGCTTTACCTTCTTCAGCCATTTCAGATTCCACACTCAAGATCGGCTTGCGAAAATTATGAGACTCCAGACTTTGGTTTTTGGTTTCCATTTGGGTTATCTGTCCCATCTGTTGACAGCTGGCTCGCTTTGAACTCGGCGCCCGGCAACATACCCGATCTTAGTCATGTACGCTCAGCTAGACCAGGCCAACTCCCTCGCAAAAGTTGTGGGCGTTAAAGAGGCTCCGTGGTTCATTCAACTCGAAAAGAGCGCGCAGAATGAAGTCAGCAACCCAAATTGTGATTCTGTACAGATGCAGTCAGTTGCCTTAATGGCGTATCTTGTGGCTCCAACCTTCAACCAGGCCTAGGTACTGATGCTAGTGACACGCACACCCGGAGCGCAGAGGCACACCTTTGGGGGGCACACGCTAGCGCCACCAAGTAGACTGACTGGCCGGCTAATGCGTCCATTTAGTGGGGGCTTGCGCAATTTCAATGTCATTTGTAAGCTGTTTAATGATTGCACTTTTCAGCAATTCGCACAGCTGAATTTTATGGCAGAGATGATAATTTAGTTTCATGGATTTATACTCAGATTTGCATACGAATTTATATGCATAAAAAACAGTCTTGTTTTATGGTTAATTTAATTAGTTTTTAGGTGCCGGTAATTCATTTTATGACGTTATAAATGACTTACAGCTAATTTAATTTTTATTTAAATTAATTTAAAATGGTTAAGGTAAAGGTCAGTTGGTAGAGTGGCTATTAAACCACCGTAAATCTCAGGGGGGAAACATTAAAGTGAACTGCTCCACTTTTAAAGTTAAAAACTAGGCGTTTTAACACAGTTTGGGTGTTAAGTTGAAAGTCATTTTTGGGATCTGTGTAAAACAATGATTTGATTTCTTGAAAGTGATTTAATCTTTAGATAGGTGGCCAGGGTGTGTTTCCACTGATGGCTTTCCAGCTCCACTGGTCTATTATTATTTTCCATTATTGCTGTGCAATTTACTCATTTTACCTTCCTGATTTCTGGGCTGCCTTCGACTTTGGCGTTCATTGATTTAAGTGTGCTTGTCCATGGCATTTGCTATAATTTTCAGTTGCTGGAACATGTTTTTCCACCCATTGCGGTTGCCGAGCATGCTCACATATGTGATGGAACCATTTTGAGGAGTGGTCTTGGTCTGGCAAAATAGGGAAAGGAAAAAGGAAATTTCCATAAATTGCCTTCATTAATTATCTTACCAAAAATATTCAAATAAGCTATCAAATGTCAAATCCATCGGCAACATTTTTAATTTCCATCCATCAAGATACCAAAAACATTGTAAATTTCCTGATTATGAAATTTGTTTGTAATTATTTGGTTGTTTTTTTTTTTTATCAAAGAAAATTTGCATTTAATTTGTGGCACTGCGAGGCAACAATGCTGGCAGAAAGACTGGCTTCATATGTGATAATTTTCTCGCTCGTTTGACCATTTTTGGCTGTAGATGTAATTACGCCCAAGGCAGCCGGCCAGCAGCAGCAACAACAACCAACAGGCAACCTCATTTATGACTCTTTGCATATGGTAAACAACAAATCAGAAAGATACTTGTACAAAATGTGTGTTTCTACGTTGGTGGTGTTGGCCTGTTGCTGTAATGCAATTTGTTTAACGCTTCGTTTATTACCAAAAACAGCCAGCGAACGCATTTCTTGGTGTTGCTGTTGCTTTTGCTATTGCTTTGTGGTTGGCTGCGGCCAGCAGCTACATTTTGGAACTCGTCGTAGGTTGAGGGGCAGATACAATAATTTAATATGCAGTCATATTCCGAGTTTCCCCTGGATCCTCCTCAACAGGCATGCACATTTTCTCTACTGCAACTATACCATGATTTTCACAAGGCAGTGCCTCATCATTCGCCTTCGTCCAATGTCCATGCTCGTTTCTCTTTTTTGGTGTTTTCTTTTCAAAGAGTGGGTGTGTTTTCCAGCTTATTTATGATTTTGTTTGACAGTTTAATACGTCTGGTTGTTTGTTGGCACGAGTCACAATCTGCCGCCGCTAGCTGCCATCTCTTGTGTGTGTGCTTTGGGCCCCTGGGTTAGGGGTTATTGGAACAGCAATTATATGTAGTTAGGTGGCCCGTTGTGGCTGCAATGGCCGGAGTATTTGTTACAGCAACAACAGCTGCTGGAGATGCGGTTAGATTGCCCAACGATGGTTAGGCCAATGTGCTGCTATATCGGTTTACAATTGGGCTGGCTCCATTACAAAGGTTGATTGATTGTTGATGGATAGTTATCATGTGGTTAATGGCTTAGTGATACTAGAGCAATAACTGGGGGAAGTGATTTAGGCAATTCTGGGTTAGAAACCATTCCACCTTTTCCTTCACAATGACCTCGAAAACTAGCCAAGTTTTACTTTCTTCTTTATTTCTTTTAACCAAGTGCATCCTCAAATCCAACGACCTTGCTTTGTTTTACTGGAGCTTTTATGTGTTCCGACTTTATGTGATAACCACGCCCCAAGAACCAAACCTGTGCCAGCGGGCCGTCGGTCTTCTCTTTATGTTAATTTCACGCCCATTAATATAATTAACTCTGCTTTTGTTTACGTTTTTATGTGTGCTCTCATTTTTGTTTGTAGTGCAACATTCAAATTAGTTTATACAGCAATGAAGAGTGTGTTTTTAATATCGGTTTCCTTTGTTTCTTTCCAGGTACGTACAAAGCTAAGATCCAAACAAAAATTCTCATCATAAATCAAAATACAAAACAACACCATCTGGAAGCGGGACAAGACGGTGCGAAGTTCAGGGTCAACGCATTTTTATTGAGACCTTTGGCGGTAACACGAACGGATGAATTAACTAATTTTGGTTTTCTTTTCTTATCTTTTGTTTCATTATTATATTGGACGGCTGTAGTTCCCTCCAATCATCTAACATCACAAAAGTTTGAGTTTGTGAGCATATAACTAACCAGCTAAAGGAAGCTGTCTTATTTCTTACTATGTAAGCACTGGATGCTTATAAGGACATAAAACCATCGTATCGAAATACGATATTTTTTTTTTTTTGTTTAAATTTTAAATGTCAATTCAGAGAATGAATCATTTTTGTATCCAATTTCTACATATGTCATCTGATATTTTATAAGAAATTCAACGACGAAGCACGTCTATTTTATGTTTTTTTTTTCCATTCAATTTAAACTTCCTGTGTATGAAATAAAATTTATATATGTATAACCAATATCTCATTCTAGCCACACCAAAGTGAACTTCCATTGAATTTGTTAGATCACTTGGCTTAAATGTCAATGGGTGGTAATGGCGGTGGTGCTGGTGGTGGTAAGACTAAAATCGAACTATAGACTATGTAGCTGGGTCGGTCGGTCGGTAGTTGTTGACATTTTTGTTTGACTTTTTTGAATTATTTCCAGCATCGCCCCACAAACTGTTGCAATTATCTGGCATTGGTATTTCTTTTGTGGCTCTTTCGGGGAGTGTTCTGTGCCAGAAGAATGAGGCAAGGAGGAGAGGCCGGAGAGTCTGGCGGATTCTCCATTCATAAAAATGAGTTTTATATGTTAATTTTGGCCAGCTCCACCGCATTCTTTCGATTGGGTTGCACTTGCGGTTGGGAAGTGGGCACATTTCAGGTGGGAGGAGTGACTCAAAGCACTTAATTGTTGCCAGATGGGAACGGTTCATGTAAATTCTTTGTAAAAAGCTTAGGAGGGTAAGGACTCGACTTTAATTACGAATATCTTTCGGCTCATTAAGGTCTCCTCCGATTGCTGACTCGGCTTTTTTGCTCCATCGAGTATATAACACTATAATTTCAGTTTTGTTTTGTAGGTAGCTACACCTACGATTTCCGCATTTGTACAGAAATGCGTCTACCCTTTTTCCCCCATTTTCCTCTGTTTATGCAGACTTGGCAGAAATGTTTAAGCCATGAGTCAGAGTGAAAAAAAGCTGACTGAAGAGTATGGCAAGACTTGAAGTCTATGTCGATGCCACGCCCATCGAAGTGCATTGAACGCATTTACTTTTTGCTGCCTCGCTTCGCACTCGATTTTCCATGCACATTTTCGCTTTTCTTTTTAATTGGGATTTCTGGTGTCTGTTTTCCTTACTCCGGAGCCCGGACTCCGAATCAAGCTTTTCCTCCAAGCCCGAAGTGTGTCTATCTGTCTGTTGGCTTTGTTTTTTGCATTTGCCTCGTTTCGTTTCACTTTCGAGTCGCTAACTTGTTGCAACTGTGCCAGTCGAGTCTTGGCCTGTGTTGCTTGGTTTTTATGGCTTCCAACCCGACCAAGTGGGTTCGAGGTGGTGGTCACTTTGGTGGCAACGAAAACAAAGGCACTCGAGCAGAACTCCCTGCAAATCGTGGACACTTCGACACAATCAAAGAAAACAAAAGCTAAAATTATGAATTATCATATTTTTTTCCTTAGTTTTTTTGGCAAAAGAAAGCGATGACATTAAACGGAAGTGTTGAATGCTCGCCAAAGGGGCGAAAGTCGTCGCAAATTGAGTGATTAACACAAAACCAGAGGAGAAAGACTTCAAAATATGTGTGTTCAGTGTACTTTGGTTATACAACAGGGTCGCCTAATCGAACAATGGCAGGAGATCAATAACCCGATCACAGCTGGTACTCGGGAGTTTCCCACCACGGCTGCAGCGGCAGAAACTGCAGCCGAAATATCGCTCAATTAACCCAGACAAATAACCAATCAAATGGCACTCTGACCCCGCATAATAGCCGTGTGATTCACGCCGCCCAGTGACCCAGCAATAACCCAATAGTTGACTCACAATCAGACACCCGCGTATTGCACACCCACTGAATGGGACAACCCGCTGGGCCAACAAGCTGAAATTTATACGGAGTATGTGTGCCGCAGCCACATGTTCGGCTAATGGTATCTGGCCCAGTCCAAGAGTCAGTGACATAACAAGCGCCAATATTTTGAGCCATGGAAATAAACCAAATCACCAGGTGTGTGTGTGTATTAAATGTCCATTCTTTGGATCCGTATCGATACGATGTGAACTTTGTGCCCTGCCCAGAGTGAAGCCAATGGAGTGTAGCTAAACGGCTTAAATCCTTGACCCATTTGGCCAACGTCTCTCTCGTTCTCTCAGCCGACTCGGCATTTCCGTTTTTATGTTGCAAAGTGCAAAATAAGACAGAGTTCGCAGCTCCATTTGTTGCAGTCATTAAAAGTTTTCGGCTCGAAAATTATACACGAGTCTATATACCTAAAATGGCAAGAGAAAGAGAAATATTATTTGTGCCATTTTGGTCGTTGTTCCGCTGTTAAATGAGTATTTGCGAGGGGGAAGTCAATTGTGGGGTTAAGTTGCCCATTAACCCATATTGGTGGTAAAGGAAATTCCAAAAGATAATGCCTTATTGGATATTATATTTATTGTTATTTTTGCTATTTAGCGAATGTTAAATAAGAGTTTGTTGTGGGAATCTGGAAATTCGAGGGTTATTACAATTTACCGCCTATATCTTTATCGGCATATCGCGGATGTGCCGCAAGGAAAACAAGTTTGTGTCTTAAGTCATTCGTTTCCTTTGTGGCCTTTTGTAAGAGCAAATTATGGCCCAGCTACTGCAGCAACAGCAACAAAACAGGGAAACCTGTAATGAAAATATGCAGTTATCCTTGAGATTACGGTTCATCAGGCAGCTCTATAAATATACGTACTATATAGGAATATGGATCTTCAGGGAAGGCTTACGGAGGAGACTTTTTCCCATTCCCTTCTCAATGCTTAGTGGCCTTTAAGCAGGAAATGATGCCCAAAAGCAGAAGCAGCAACAACAACCTGGCAATTTGGCAACAACAACAAACAACAATCCAAAAACGAAGAAGAAGAAGAGGTCGCTTAACGAGCGGCATGCATAAAATATGCCCTTTGTGTTGCAGACGTTGCTGATCGCCTGATTGCAGGCCGTTCCAATCGCTCCGCCGAGGACTGCGTTTTTTAATAAAAATGTCAAGCCATGCACAAGGGAAACGGTAACGGGTTACGGGCTACGGACTACAGATCCACAATGAATTGGCAATTTGCAAAGCTGCTCCTTGTGGCTAAGTGTAATCCCGACATAAAGGCATCATTTATTGAAGTAAAAGATTTCGGATTCGGAGGTTTTTGCGCGTTGGCGTATTCCGACACTTCAAAAGCCATTCAACTTTTGATAACTCTTGATTGACGGTGCCTGGTGGCTGGCCGGATGGCTGACTTCAACCTGATGGACCCATCTCAAGTGTTATTTGCTTTAATAACACTCGAGAACTGCATACATCTGCCGCCTAAAAGGGTCTCATGGTTCATTGAACTTCCACACGCAAGAAGCCAATTCTTAGCCACTTTGGCCAGCCATTGAGCTTTAAGTGGTAATGGTCCGTATCTAGTGGCATCTATAACTTCTGGACACGCCCAATTAAAAGTGATCCTCCAGGGCTCCAAAAAAACTTGTACAGAATAGAATATGCAAATCCGCAAGGTAGGAATCATAGAACCTTAGAATCACAAAGAGGCAGGCAGAAACCTTGTTGTTCACACAATAAATCACCACAAGCAGAACCGAACAGCTTTGGACCTGGCTCTATAGCCATTGTAATTACAACAACAATAGACAGCTGGCCGACAAAACTAAGCCAAGATTGTTGACCATTTTGTCGCTGAAGCGTGCGGCAAAATGTTGTGTTTCTGTATTTTTTCCGCTGTCTGTCTCTGAGTCTGTCTTTTGTTTTGGCCATTCTTTTTGTATTTGGCCAAAGAAAAAAGCTGGCAAAATTATGCGGAAAATTACAATGCATAGAAATTTGTGCCGTTGAAAGACAGATCTAATCGTGAATTATGTATTTCTGGGTGTAGGCTAAGGTTACACAATCAGATTGATATAAATTTCCAGCGAGGGAGAGATTTTGTTATATCACAGCAAATAAATTAAGTTAAATTGATTTGATATTTGCTTTGTGTTTGGGTTTTAATTTATGGAGTTGTCCTAGTTTTTAGAAAGGCATAAATTATCTAGAATTCTTCTAATATACTTCTGTTTCTGTTGAAATGCAACAACCAATCCCTTCTGACATGGCTTATCGCACGAATTCTTTCTGCCACTTGCATTTTAATGGCAACAACTCACTTAGCATGTTGGGATTGCGGGACATTGCGCCACTGAGCGGGTACCGTTTGTTGGTAACACAGACAGATGCAGACACATAATCAGGCCCAGAGCTGGCTAGGGAGGAAAAACAGTTCTATTACTTAATATGCAACACTAATGCGAACAATGGCAGCACGACATCGTGGCACAGGAAAAACCAAATGAAAAGCCCAAAAAACCAGAAACCCACAAAAACCAAACCAAAGGCCCAGACACACGATCCTCCGGTTACTCCGTCTCCGTCTCCAGACATTCAATCAACACCGCCACGACTTGGCCAACTTAGAAAGGCAACCCAACGCGCAGATCTGTGGCGGGAAAAAATGCTGAAGGTGGAGAAGTCAAATCAAGGCAACAGTTTTTCACACCTAACTAGAGTCCAGTTCGACTACTCACTCTCGTATATGTACGTGTTATAGTTTTCTGAACTCTATTAATATAGAACCACACACTGGATTACCACTTTTTTCGGAGGCATTCTATTCGGTGATCAGGCTACGTGCCTGGGGTAAGGAACTCGGTATCTACTCTCCGCCTCGAGTGGTTTGTTTGTTTGGAATCTATGGGAGACTGGAGATCAAGATTGTGCTCTGACAATGGCAAGGAATTCGTTGCTGGAATGATAATTTCAAAGCTTTTATTTGCTAGCCATTCTATAATTGGAGCAGACCCGATGATTAAAGCCAAAGTCGGTAAAATCTTTATAAAAAATCTTGAAACAAATTTGGGATACAAGAACCTTTTCTTAAAATGTTGTTGAATGTGTATCTAGATTCTAGAATATATATGTTTCTTAACTTTACAATCGTATCAAGGTTTTACCTTAGATACAATTCTAATTTCTGAGCACTTTTCCGTTTGATTCGTTCTCTTATTAAATGCGATTTATGGCCCAGACGGTGAGCCAAGTCAAGTCAATGCAATTCGAGTCAAAACCAAAGCCAAGCCCAGTTCAAAAGCTGAGGAAGTCAGGCCACTTCAGCACCCAGCACAAGCTGATTTTTGCAATCGCAAAAAAACTCGTTTGCATTTGCGCTCGTAATTTAGTTTTAATATTTGCAATATAATTT